AGCCCCCAGGGAGAAGCCCAGAACCCCGACCTGCAAAGGAAACCTCCATCTGTGAGGGGACCGGCCGCCTCCCCACCAAGGACAGGGGTGGGCCCTGCGGAGGCCTGGCCCTGGGTACAGGCTTCCTGTCACCTTGGTCTTGCCTGACGGTGGCCTCGAGGGCGGTGGCTGCAGCTCTGGGGAGAGGAGGCTGGACGGCACAGGGAGGGGCAGCCGCCCCCACGGGCTGGTTCCCGGCTCCGCAGCCACTTTGCGGTGGTGGCGGCTACAGACACACACTCCTACCCCCACCCGCACAGCGTCTCCGCTCTTCCCTCTGGACTAATAATCAAATTAGCAAAAGCAGACGAACAGGAGAAAATCGTGTTTTAATGTCTCGCATGGGCATTCTGTGAACATGGGAAGTCCATACGTGAGGCCATACATTTAGGACAAAGGAGGAAGGGAGGCAGGAGGGAGTGGGGAAGCGCAGGCCCGGCCCCGGGCCGCGGAGACCCTGGGAGGGACAGAGATAATGGGGGCGGGGGCCGGGCTTTGGCTAAGGCCCGGCCTGAAGCCCTCCTGCTCCCCACACTCCATCGGCGGGCGGGCGTGGGCAGACACCCCCAGAGCTCCTTCCGGAAGCGGGTTTCTCTGCCTGAATCCCGGGCAGGAAATGGGGGAAGGGTCAAAGGTCCTTACTGAGTCTGGTCTCCTTTTTAAAAACTCTGTGTTAGTTTCAGGGGGACCGCACAGCGGGGAGGCAGCCATATACTGCACGCAGCGCTCCCCGATACTCCCAGCCCCACCTGGCGCCGTACGGAGATTCCGACGGCGCTGATGGCCCGCAGGCCCGTCCTGTGACTGCCCGCCCTCTGCATTTCTCAGTCCCTCCGCCTTCCCCACCCCGTCCCCTCACCCCTCTCTGCTGGCAGCCACTGACCTGTTCTCTGTGCCCATGAGTCCCCTTCTGTTTTCATTGCTCTTGATTCCACGTGTAAATGGAATCACATGATGTTTGTCTTTCCCGACCGAAGGACTTCACTCAGCACAACACCCTCCAGTCCATCGCTGACGTCACAAACGGTCAGACTTCATTCTCTTTACGGCCGAGGGCACCCCCTCGTGTGAATGTCCACCGGCCTTGTTAGCCGCGTGTCCATGGTGGGACCCTGGGCTGCGTCCAGAGCTGGGCTGTTGTAAGTGACGCTGCGATGGACAGAGGGTGCCCCGCATGTTCTTTCCAATGATTGTTTGGCTTCTTCAGATACAGACCCAGAAGCGGGGTCACTGGGTCATAAGGCGGTTCCTTCCCGGGGTGTGGGGACACGCCATGCTGCTGTCCACAGTGGCCGCACCGTCGGCGTCTCCCCCCCGCCCCCCAGTGCTCGAGGCCCCCTTTGCCCCACCTCCACGCCAGCACCTGTTTGGGGATGTATTGATGACGCAGGATGAACAGCTGACACTCAGCACCCCAAAGCCAGCGGCAGGCCGGCCGGACCTCGGTACCCTGCGCTGCAGCCACAGGCCACCGGCTAGGGTCTGGCGGAAACTCGAGGGATTCGGTCCCACTGGGCCTGAGGTGAGGAGCCTTGACCAGCCCCCCTGCTGCACCCCCGGTGCTCAGAGCTCACTGCCTCCCTCTGCCTGCCTCCGAGGACAGGCTGTTTCCCGCTGGCGGGAGCTCTGAGTGACGGACACCCCGCCCTGCGAGCACGGAGCGCGGGTCCCCCAGAAGCAGCCTCCCGGGCGGCGTCACGCAGGCCCCACACGTGCGACCCCGAGGGAGGGCCGCAGCGCAACGGGAGGCCTGGCCCGCTCACGGGGACAGCGTGTCCCGCACGGAGCCTCCCCGTTTATTTGCTTTCCCAGTGTTCCACAAGGGCACCTGCAATCCGAGGAGCGGAACTAAATATTTACTCCGTCGATCAGGGCCTGGCAGGTGCAGCGGAGCACACAGCTCGGCCCTGCTCAGGCACAGCCTTTCCACTCGCTCATTCGCGGGTTCACCCACTGGCTCATCCGCCAGAGCCGCTGGGCCTCAGCCACGTGTCAGATCCTGAATCAGCCCGAGGGCCAGGAAGGGGGTGAGCGGCCCAGGTAGTGGGGTGAGCAGGGCCCAGGCAGTGGGGTGACAGGGCCCTGTCTTCGAGATGCTCCGTGTAATGAGGCCCCAGGACTGTTTGATGGAGGGTGACAGTTTGCCTGGAAGAGAGGAGGCATGAAAGGGCCCCTGGCGGGATGCAGACCTCAGAGGCGGGAAGGGGCCGTGTGGGTGACAGGGTCTGGGGGACGGTGAGGGATGGTAGGCATGGTGTGGGAGACGGGGTCTGGGAGACGGGGCTGGAGGTGAGACGCTCTGGGTCCCCAGTCTTTCCGTGACGGAGGCCACAGGACTCATGGGGCGGGAGAGGCCGGCAGGGCCAGACCAGGGAGGCCTGAGAGCAGAGAGGGGGTCCGAGCTGTGTCTGGTCGGCAACAGGGGCCATTGAGCGCTTTTGAACGGGGGAGAGAGGAGCCCAGTCAGCACGAGGAGGCAGCACTCTCGAGGCTGAACTGGGGGTGACTGTTCCCCCCTTTCTCCCCTTCATCGCACCAGGACCGCACCCTCACACATCCATCACCCCAGGGGACGTTGCCACGGTAACCCCCGGCCTGGGACTCCTTTCTGGCTCCTGGGAGACTCCTGAATCCACCCACCCACCCGCTCTGCAGGCCAAGCCGGGCCCATCAGCCTGACTCTCGCTCGCCTGGCCGTTGGACGCACCCCCAACCCCAGCAGGCGCAGGGCAATGGCGATAGGTTCGGGAGCACTCGCTGTCCAGCCAGCAAGCCCAGGGAGGGAAGGGTGAGCACTCCTTCGAGCCCTGGAGGCCGGAGGCCGGGGCACTTCCTGGGCTCTGTCCCTGCAGCCGGGCGAGCGGTCAGCACACGCCGTCCGCTCAGCCGCGTCCTCCTGGGGCCTCCTGTGTCGCCCTCCCGGAGGCCGTCCCGTCCAGCTCAGCTGTTTTATTTATTCTTCTTATTGTTCTGTTAATCCTCACCTGAGGATGTTTTCCCATTGATTTTTAGGGAGAGTGGAAGAGAGAGGGAAAGGCAGAGAGAAATATGTGAGAGAAACACATCGATTGGTTGCCTCCCGCACGCACCCCAACCTCAGGGCCGGGGAGGAGCCTGCAACTGAGGTACATGCCCTTGACCAGAATCAAACCCGGGACCCTTCGGTCCGCAGGCCGACGCTATCCACAGAGCCACACCGGCCCAGGCTCAGCGCTGTTTTGGAGGCAGGGAGGGCAAATCCCCCATCCTCCCGGCCTCTCCCTTTCCCGTGTCCTGTCTCCTGCTGTGGACACGGCCTCCCAGGATCCAGTCTCCCAGGATCCGGTCTCCCAGGATCCGGTCTCCCAGGATCTGGCCTCCCGGCTCCGGCCTCCCAGGATCCGGCCTCCCAGCTCTGGCCTCCCAGCTCCGGCCTCCCAAGATCCGGCCTCCCAAGATCCGGCCTCCCAGGATCCGGCCTCCCAGCTCCGGCCTCCCAGGAATCCGGCCTCCTAGGATCCGGTCTCCCAGGAATCCGGCCTCCAGGATCCGGCCTCCCAGGATCCGGCTCTCCCAAGATCCGCGGCCTCCCAGGATCCGGCCCTCCCAGGATCTGGCCTCCAGGATCCGTTCTCCAGGCCTCCGGGCCTCCCAGGATCCGGCCCTCCCAGCTCCGGCCTCCAGGATCCCTGCCTCCCAGCTCCGCTCTCCCAGGAATCGGCCTCAGTCCCAGGATCCGGCCTCCCAGGATCCGGCCTCCCAGGATCCGGTCTCCCAGGATCCGGCCTCCCAGGATCCGCCATCCCAGGATCCGGCCTCCCAGGCCTCCGGTCCTCCCAGGATCCGCAGGATCCGGCCTCCCAGGATCTGGCCTCCCAGATCCGGCCTCCCAGGATCCGGCCTCCCAGGATCCGGCCTCCCAGCTCCGGCCTCCCAGGATCCGGCCTCCCAGGATCCGGCCTCCCAGGATCTGGCCTCCCAGGATCCGGCCTCCCAGGATCCGGCCTCCCAGGATCCGGTCTCCCAGATCCGGTCTCCCAGGATCCGGTCTCCCAGGATCCGGCCTCCCAGGATCCGGCCTCCCAGGATCCGGCCTCCCAGGATCCGGTCTCCCAGGATCCGGCCTCCCGGCTCCGGCCTGCCCTTCACCCTGTGGCACTGCCTGGTCCAGACAGCCCGCCATGTGGTCCCTGGACACCACGACTCGAACAGCGGTCAGTGCTGGAGGTGTCTTTGCAGCCCCTGAGTCGCTTGAAACCCTGGGGAGTGCCTGAGACCCCGTCTCTGACGCACTGACCGCCGAGAAACCCAGAGGCCCGCCCAGAGCGGCTGGTTTGTGGGAATTCCTGGGGTTTGGGACAAACCATGGGAGGGTCCAGGTTTCTTCTCTAGATTCTGGGTGGACCCTCCTGAGCGAGTTCGCCCACATCCTCAGAGACAGTCCGAGCTGGACCGCCGGGGCCAGCTCAGACCCCCCTGCTGGGGAAACTGAGGCCTCAAGGGGAGGGATTGGCCCGAGGCCCCAGAGCACATCAGGGCAGAGCAGGGCTGTGAGGACAGACCCCGACTTGAATCCCTGCTCCTGCTCTCGGCGGAGCACCCCGGGACCCCCATCGTCTGGGGGAGAAAGGCTGGGCCCCTCCACGGCCACGACGGGGGTGGAGCCTGTGCAGCTGCCTCCCACGCTGGCTTCCTAACCAGGTCGCGGTGGCAACTACTTGGTTGCTATTCTCCCTGCCAAGGCCTGTGGAGTCCCCCCTCGCCCCCCCTTCCGGAACGAGGCACCCACCTGCTGGGGGTGGCTGGCTACCCACTCCCCTTCCTCCCCCCCCCCAACCCCGCACCCACCCCCTGGCCCTTGGAGCACCCGGGCCCTGTGTCTGGGACCAGCTACACCAGGGAGTGCGGGGCCGACCCAGAGGGACGGGAAAGGCGTGCATTTATTAAGCATCTGCTGTGTACAAGGCACTGGACCAGGCTCCTCGCTATCAGGCTGTTTAATTCACACACCACCCTCAGGGCAGGGCAGGGGGGGGTCTCCCCCCTTCCGGGGCAGACACTGCCTAAAGGGGTTGCAGGGGTGCGGGGCTGCATAGCCGTGTGGGGCCGCGTGTCCAGTCCACACCCGTCTTGTACCCCCACATCCCTTCCCGTCTCCAGCAGCTTCTGCCCGGACCCCTGGCATCTCTGCAGCCCCGACCACGCCCTGCGCGCAGCAGCTCCGGCTAGGGCTTTGTGGGGTTGACGACCTTGCCCAGAAAGAGGATGCTCTGGGTGTCGGTGGAGAGGATGGCCACGAGGAAGGGCCGGTTGAACATGAGGACGCCGGGATTGCGCGCAGCGGAGAAGAAGGTGACGGAGAGGCTGGTGGCCGCCGCAGCCTCAGTGCCAACCTCGTCCACGTCCAGCACGGCCTTGTGGACACTCTGGGGGGGAATCACAGGCGTTACTGCGAGAGGACCGAGTGGGGGCTGAGGGGAGGCCGAGGGAGCCAGAGATCCCCGGAGAGCAGGGCTGAGCTGCCTGCACCGAGCCCCCCGGGACCGCACAGCAGGAATTTCTACGGGGCAGGCGGCGGAGCTGATGGCCTCTTAGTGACACAACCAGGCAGAGTCCTTCGCTGAGCACTTCCTGTCCCCTGCACTTGCTAATCTTTTTCTTTTTTTTGTTGTTAATCTTCACCTGAGGATATTTTCCCATTGATTCTTAGAGAGAGGAAGCGAGGGGGACAGGGCGGAAAACATCAGTGTGAGAGGCACCTCGGCTGGTTGCCCCACGTGAGCCCCGACCGGGCACATGCCCTTGACCAAACTCGAACCCGGGACCTTTCAGTCCAGAGGCTGACGCTCTATCCACTGAGCCAAGCCGGCCAGGGCTCTTTCTAACCTTCTAAGCCACCCCTCGAGGAAGACACTAGAGCCCAGTAATCCTGTAACATAAGAGGCGGGACTGGGATTCTAGCCCTCAAGTCCAAGGCTCTGCCCTCCAGCGCACTCGCGTCTCACGTCACTGAAGTCACAGGCCCTTCTCTCGTCTGCGAAAGCTCTCTGGCACACAGGCGCCCAGCCCGCCTCCTGCACCCTCCTGCTCCTGGCACTGAATTTCCGCTGCCCGTTGCTGTGACTACGAAGGTGCGGAGGCCACTGACCACTGACCTTGGACACCATCAGGTTCTCCCGTGTGGAGATGCCGGACAGGTTGGCCTGCTGCGAAAACAGGTCCCGGATGCCCAGCTGCGGCAGCAGCCCGTCTAAGCTATAGGAGCCCGAGATGGAGAACTTGGGGAGGTACAGCCAGAGCTTCCGGGCATAGGACCTGAAAGAGGCACGGGGTGAACGCCCTGGACGGCCCAGCCGGGCCCTCCCCCGAGGGTCACACCACGTGCGCCCGCCCGTCACCCCAGGGCTCCCGGCAGCCCCGCCAGGCTCCTTTGCCCAGGGGACTGTCGCCTGGGGGCCCTCCCCTACCCCGGGGGCTCCTCTCCGACAGAGGCCGCTTTCTGTGGGGCCAGGCGCCCAGGGAGAGGTGAGACCCCTCCGGGCAGCCCTGCCCGGGCTCTGTTGGGCCCAGGGTCTCACTACTTTGGGACCTGATGATGCCATTGGGCCGCATCCTGGCCAGAGGAACGGGGAAGGTCTCCATCACACAGGCCTCCTGGAGGCCCTTCGCTTCCACTCACAGCCCCGGGTGACGGGAACCTCCCTGATGACTGCTGGGTGGAAGCCGGGGTTTCCTTACACCCCGAGGGGCCGGGTCAGCCCTCTGTGGCACAGGGCTGGGCCCCCCGAGGGCTGGCGTCGCCTCCCCCCAGGCTGGTACAGGGCAGAGTTGTGGGTAGAGCGAGGCCTCCACCCCTCGCCCGCGTCCCGTGTCACCGTGAGGACAGTCATGTGCTGAGGCAGCAGGAGAGGTCACTGCTTAAAGACCCACCCAGGGGGTCTCCGAGCGAAGGGGGCCGCGCTCAGAGCTGGGCACTGGCCCCATCATGTGCACTGGCTTCTACTCGAAGGCCCGCGGGGGCGCTGCCCGCTTGGCACCCGCCGCCGGTTACCTCTTCTCCAGCAAACTGCTCCACCTGCGGAGCATCTCGGGCGTCAGGACCTCCTCCACCTGCGCCATCTTCCCGGGGTCGGGCAGGATGAAGAGGGCCCGGGCGCCGCCCTTGTAGTCCAGCCGGAGCACCGAGCAGGGCGCGTGCTTGTCATGCAGGTACCACTGGTTGTCCTGGTCCTGGAACATCATCGGCACCTTGACCACCGTGTTCTCATCCACGTGGAAGTCTTGGGGTTTGGTGACGTAGCGGCCGAACGGGTTCTTCCACCGACCTGAGGGGAGACGGAGAGAAGGCGCAGGGCGTCCACGGGCCAGCGGCCCCTCCTCCCGCCAGGGAGCGGCCCCCCAGTCACTCAGACCCCCGCCTTCCGGCTCCTCAGGGACACAGCCTAGAGCAGGGGTGGGCAAACTTTTTGACTCGAGGGCCACAATGGGTTCTTAAACTGGACCGGAGGCCGGATCAAAGTAAACATCATTACATAAAAGGGTACGGTCTTTTTTTTTTTTTTTTAGTTTTATTCATTTCAAACGGGCCGGATCTGGCCCGCGGGCCGTAGTTTGCCCACGGCTGGCCTAGATCCTTCACCACCGGCTGGGCCTGGGGAATGGACTGCCCATGGCTCATTCAGCATCGACGTTGGGAGACACCCGTGGCTACCAGCCAAGTTGTCTCCTGTCTTCACCAGCTCCCTGGACCTGCTGCACGTATATATTTTGCCAGCTCGAGGCTTGCAGAGCCCAAGCTCGCCGTGGCTCTGACGTGCACTTTCTTGGTTTAAAATAAGTGAGCCCAGCCTGTGTGGCTCAGTGGTTGAGCATCTACCCATGAGCCAAGGGGTCACCGGTTCGATTCCCGGTCAGGACACAGGCCCGGGTTTCGGGCTCCATCCCGTCGGGGGCGTGCAGGAGGCAGCAGATCGATGTTTCTCTCTTGACTCTCTCTCACTGATGTTTCTGTCCCTCTCTCCCTCTCTCTTCCACTCTCTCTTAAAAAAAAAAAAAAAAAAAAAGGCTGAGAAAGCGTTCGCACGTTCATGGACCAACTAGATGCCCTTGGTTTTCAGTGGGGTGCCAGCTCGTTATGTGACCCCGCATTTCAGAGGCTGCTTCTCGGAGGTGAGGGCTCCTCTGAGCACTAGTTGTGCGCCGTCGTGCGAGCCGCAAACACCGCCTCTCCCTCACCGACCGGTCCCTCCACTCGCCTCCCCGGCTACTGAGCCCTGAGCACAGTGGGCACAGCAGTCTTTCCCTCCAGGGCGAGCCTTCCGTGTCTCGTTGGGAAAAGGGCCCCACCCACGTTCGTGCAGACACTCGCCTACAGCGTCTGCCAGAAGCTTTCGTTTTACTTTTGCATTCAGGACCTTCTCGACCTGGAACACGTATCTATGCCGGGCAGGAAGGAGGGGCCCAGACCACCATTTCACCCTATGGGTGCCCAGCTGTCCCCGGACCAATTTCTGGTTTTTAAACCCATCCTTCCCCAGGGGTCCCTCACGCCAGCTTCTGCATATATCAAGGTCCCATCTATCCTGGGCCCGTTTCCGGCCTCCCTCTATCTGTGCCATTGGCCTGTTGGTACCTCGTGGTCTAAATTAATACAGAGCACTCTGGCCAGTGTGGCTCTGTGGATGAGTGTCGGCTGGTGGACCGAAGGGTCCTGGGTTCGATTCTGGTCAAGGGCAGGTACCTCGGTTGCGAGCTCCATCCCCGGGCCTGGTCGGGGCGCAGGTGGGAGACAACTCAATGATGTGTCTCTCTCACATCGATGTTTCTCTCTGTGTCTCTCCCCCTCCCTTCCACTCTCTCTAAAATTCAATGCAAAAATAGCCTCAGGTGAAGATTAACCAACATTAATAATTAATACAGAGTAATAATAGGTCTTGCTCTCAGACGGGACAGTCTTCTCATCTTAGTGATTCTTGACCCTTTGTACTCTCATGTACATTTTAAAATCAGCTCGTTACCTGCCACCAAAAAGGAAAAAAGAAAAAAACCTGCTAGGGTTTTAATTGGCATCACATTAAATATTTAGATTAATTGGGGGGGCATGCTGTCTCTACCATCTTCGTCATGCATGCAGCTTACGTGTTTTATTTAAGTTGACTTAGTATCTCTCACAGCATCTTGCCAGCAGAGACCCCGCACAGCTGGTTGGATTCGTCTACAGACTTTGCATTTTTGAAGATGAGCCACGATGTCCCGCTGCCTCACCGAGTGCCTGCACTGAGGTCTGGGCGGCATTTACATCCCCGGAGTCCGGGACATGTCCGCAGGCCGACGCTCTATCCACTGAGCCAAACCAGTTAGGGCTCAATACAAATTTAGACATTCAACTCGCGATCCTTGGCTACAAAGCCTTTCATAAATTACTGTCATTCAAAGAAAAAGAAAATAAGTCTAAAGGCATGAAGAGATGGAAACCACAATACTCCACAATCTTAACTATCGGACAAAACCATGAAATCTAAGGGGCGCTTGGCCCTATCAGACCCAACCCACCCACTTTCTTTTACCTAATGTATCGTCTGAACCAGGAGGTCACGGTTCGATTCCCCATCAGGGCGCATGCCCAGGTTGCAGGCTCAATCCCCAGGAGGGGGCATACAGGGGGCAGCCGATCAGTGATTCTCTCTCATCATTGATGTTTCTCTCTCTCACTCTCCCTTCCTCTCTGAAATCAATAAAAATGTATTTAAGAAACAGACTGTATTAATAACGTAACGGGGGGTATAGGATCTACCAACGGACTGACGTACCTTTGAAGTAAATGTAGTTCACCAGCACCATCACCGTGTCGGGGCTGAGCCTGCTGACCAAGTTGTCAATCTTCCCGCGGGTCTCCTTCTTGACGTGGTTGTTGATCAGCTGGGCGGTGCCCTCGGAGTCCAGGAAGTCGGCGGGGAACAGGCTGGGCCCGTAGAAGGCGGCCGTGTCATTCAGGAACTGCGGCCGGAGCGGCAGGTCCTTGCTCAGGAAGAGGGCGCTGCCCACGCGTGTCTCCAGCTTGTCGTGGGGGCGGTTGAGCGTGTGCAGCAGGTCCTGGAAGCCCCGGTGGATGTCCGGCTCCGACGTGTCTGTGAGGTTGAAGGCCAGGCCCTGCAGGATCTGGGCCCACGTGTCCTCGCGGGCCCCCAGGGCCAGCATGGCGTAGGCGGCCGAGATGCTCAGCGGGGAGAAGAAGATGTTGCTCCCGGGGCTGAGGGAAGCCACGAGGTGGTAGAAGTTGAAGGCGAAGGCTGCGTTGCTCGGGGCGATCTGGAGGCTGGGGGAGGCCTCCTCAGCGCCCGGACCCTCCTGGGGGCCGTCGGCTTGACCCCGGCCACCGTGGGGAAGGGCCAGCAGTCCCAGCAGGACGAGGAGCAGGCGGTCTGCACGCTGCATCTTCTGCGGTTTCAGGTCTGCAGGAGGGAAGAGGGCGTCCAGGACTGAGACCCAACCCCACTGGGAAGTCAGCCAGGGCAGGTGGGCGTAAGACAGCCCTGGCTGGTATGGCTCAGTGGATAGAGCATGGGTCCTTGGACTGAGGGGCCCCGGGTTCGATTCCCATCAAGGGCACATGCCCTGGTTGTGGGCTCAATCCCCAGTGTGGGGTGTGCAGGAGGCAGCCAATCAATGATTCTCTCTCATCATTGATGTTTCTAGCTCTCTCTCTCTCTCTCTCTGTCTCCCTCTCTCTTCCTCTGAAATCAATAAAAACAAAGACAGGTTAGCGAACACCCCGTGTGCGGGGCCGATGCTCCTGCCAGCACCCTCCTGCGTCCACCGCCTCCTTCCCTTCGCCGTGAGCTCCGCGGGCGCCGACCACAGAGAGGGTCCCACAGCGGCAGCCGCCGGGACCACCGAGCTGGGACAGGTCTCCCACTCTCCCCGGCGCCTTCCTCGGCCCGGCGCCCCCACAGCACCGAGGGTGCCGATCTCATCTCCAGCGGCTATTCTAGCACCTACTCCGCCCCCCACGGTGTGCTGGGCGCCCCGGTGACCTGTTCTGTCCCACCTCTTGCCCGGGGAGGCCCGCAGACTCGATGAGAGCGCGGCTGCTGCTGCGAGGAAATGATTTGCTCAGAGTCAGGGAGAACTGGCTCCTCCCTCTCATGAGCTCCACCTGGCCAAGGCGGGGGCCTGGTTTTCACCCCCAAAGCCTCCAGGTGGCCCCACCATTATCCGGTTCTCAGCCCCGCAAACCCAGTCGTCATCTCTGACCTCAGTCTGGCCGCCCATCCGCCCACCTGCACCCGCCCGCCGGGCCCACGCTGCCTGCTCCCACCTCTCAGCCCTGCGCGCCAGGACCCCGTGCCCGTCTCCAGCCTCCTTCACCGGGAGCCCGGGAGCCGGGCCCCAAACGCGTCCAGGGCAGACGTCCGTGCGGGCTTCGTGGGCCACAGAATCACCACTCAGCTACCCAACTGGGAACCGGCCAGACAGGGCCGCTGGGGGCCGTGACTATCCCGTGAGGTTAACTTATGGGCAGAGACCTGATTGCATGGACTTTTGATAACGTACAAAGTAATGTCCTTCTCGCCCTGGCCGGTTTGGCTCAGTGGATAGAGCGTCGGCCTGCGGACTCAAGGGTCCCGGGTTCGATTCCGGTCAAGGGCATGCATGTACCTTGGTTTCGGGCACATCCCCAGTAGAGGGTGTGCAGGAGGAGGCAGCTGATCAATGCTTCTCTCTCATCAATGTTTCTAACTCTCTATCCCTCTCCCTTCCTCTCTGTAAAAAAGCAATAAAATATATTTAAAAAAAAATAATGTCCTCTGACTTCTCAGCCGTTTACTGCTTTTGTATCTGCATTGTCTGTCCTGTTCTTAGCGCCTGGCGGGACGGAAGTGGACGGCGGGCCCCGGCGGCCCCCTCGCTGGCCTGGCCGCCCTCGGCTTGCCCACAGTCACGGGAGCGCCTCCTCAGATCGCACATCTCCCGGCTGCCCCCTGCCCAGCGCCTCACCCCACGGGCTTCCTCGCAGCCCATCGCACTCCCCCCGGCCCGCCCCTCACACAGGGCTCCGCGGCCTGACAGGGGTGACCCAGCGTGGCCCTCGGCAGGACCCCCCCAAACATCGGGATCGGGAGCCGGGAGACCTGGCCCCTGCGTGCAGCCCGGGAGGCTGCCTGGGGTGTGGGCACGAGCCCCACCGTGAGGGCCGGTGCACATGGGGAGGCTTCCCAGCCCCGGCTCTGCCACCCCCGGGGGGGCAAACCATCGCCGCCCTCCCGGGACTCCTCAGCCTTAGCTGTGGACAAAGAAGGGGCGACGGCGACAGGAAGTGTCTTCACAGGCGGGTACCCCTAAATTCCATTCCTCACGGGCAGGTCGTGGTGGTGGTCACAGCCCCGACGCGTGACTTCTTTCGTGCAAGGCTAACCTCTCCTCGGCCGCCCGCCCGCCCGCCGTGGTCTCTGCGCCTCTGTGAACGCCTCTGAGAGCCTCTCAGACCCTCCTGCGAAGGCGAGACCCCCCACTACCTCCTCAACTCCACTCGCACCCAAGGCGCTGCGAGCTCCATTCCCCCAGGCAGTTTTCTGTCTGCCGAGAGCTCGCTTTCCGGTTTGGCTCAAAAAATTCCAACAACGCTTATAAAGTGTTCCTGCAGGTCTGTGCGCTCTCACATCCACGGCGCTGAGGACCGCGTCCCCAGCCCGTCCTCCCCCCTCCCTCTCCCTGTCTGTCCTCCCCCCTCCCTCTCCCTGTCTGTCCTCCCCCCTCCCTCTCCCTGTCTGTCCTCCCCCCTCCCTCTCCCTGTCTGTCCTCCCCCCTCCCTCTCCCTGTCTGTCCTCCCCCCTCCCTCTCCCTGTCTGTCCTCCCCCCTCCCTCTCCCTGTCTGTCCTCCCCCCTCCCTCTCCCTGTCTGTCCTCCCCCCTCCCTCTCCCTGTCTGTCCTCCCCCCTCCCTCTCCCTGTCTGTCCTCCCCCCTCCCTCTCCCTCTGTCTGTCCTCCCCCCTCCCTCTCCCTCTGTCTGTCCTCCCTCCTCCCTCTCCCTCTGTCTGTCCATCCGTCCGGGGTGGCCGCAGGGGTTACCTACCGCTGTCAGCTCTGCCGGTCTCTGCCCTGTCCCGCTCCAGAGCAGTGCGGCCGGTGCATCCCCGGAGATAAAGAAGCTCCTATCACCGCCCCCCGCCCCCCAATGAGCTAATTATTAATCAGCAGACGGGAGAGTCGCCTGGAGTCCTGACAGGGAAACCTCACTGGGGTGGCTTCCCTCCTCCCCCCTCCTCCCCCCACCCCTCCCCTGGGAGACGCCAGGAGGGCTGGCCCTGCCTGACCGCTATGCTGCCAGGTGTGCCTGGCCCAGCCTCCCTGAGGCTCAGGGAGCCCCTGTGGGTCCCCTCTCGGGAGCTTGTCCCCCTCCCCCCACTTTCTCCTCCTTCCCCTGCAGAACAGGAGTGGGGCCGGACTGGCAGCAGCGAACTCCTGTGTTCGCGAAGGAAGCCCCCCCCATGGGGGGATGGGGGGGACAGCGGGCCTTGTGCCTGGGAAGCTGGGCTCTGAGCCGTCCAGCTGCCCGTTGCAAGGCGCTGAGACGGGACCCACGGGAAGCTGCGCGCTGGCCTTGGAGGACCGCGCACCCCAGAGTCCCGGGGCCCGGGGCCGATTGCACGTCCTCCTCACGGAGCTCGACGCCGCTCGCTCTCCCCAGCCCTCGGTGAGCTCCGCTCCCTTGGCCGATGCCGATGCCGATGCCGATGCCGATGCCAGGGCAGCTGGACGCTCCCCAGCCCTTGGGGGAAGGACGGGAGGGAGGCAGCCCTCGATGCCGCCGGGGTGTGAATGAGATGCCCGCGGCCCTCCCACCCCCCCCCCCCTCTAGACTTTTCTGAATGGCCTTCGGGTCCTGAACTTGAGTGAAACAGCAGCACTGAGCAGCAAGGCGGCTGGGAGCCGGCAGGGCAGAGGGCAGAGGGCGGAGGGCAGGGTGGAGGGAGGGTCCAGCTCAGGCCTGGACCCAGCTGGCCTGGGCCCGAATCGCAGACCTGCGGCTGGACTCAAAGAAGTTCAAGGTGTGGAGGAAAACAGGGTTCTCTGGGAAGTAGCCTCAGGGCGACCGTGACTTCCCGCCAGGCCAGAGCCTGGGGCTTCTTCAGCGGGAGGAGGGTCTGCCTCCAGCGGGCGTCCAGGGGGCAGGCCTTTGAATGACCCGCCCAGCCCCCCCCCCCCCCCCCCCCCCGTCTGCCACGACCTTGCTTCCAGGCGTATCCTCTGTTTGACTCAAATTTTTAAAAAATATCTCTTTATTGATTTCAGAGAGGAAGGGAGAGGGAGAGATAGAAACACCATGACGAGAGAGAATCGTGGGTCGGCTGCCTCCTGCACGCCCCACACCAGGGATTGAGCCCACAATCCAGGCACGTGCCCTGGCCGGGAATCGAACCTCCTGGTTCATAGGTCAATGCTGAGTCACTGAGCCACACCAGCTGGGCTGATTCTAATTTTTATACAAATTCTCTTCGGGTTTGGACATTCCTATGTCAACAAAGGGCATGTCCAAGTTCCAGGGCAAGACTGAGACTTAATGTACCAGATACGAGCCCCCCTCCTCCCTCCCCCTCTCTCTCCCTCACACACACCCACACACACACCATCCCCACACACACATACACACACACATACACACACATACACACACATGCACTCACACACACCCATACACCCACACATACCCCCCCCACACACACACGCCCCCCCACACACATACACACACACACCCATACACACACCCACACACACATACACACATACACACACACACACACACACACACACATACACACACATACACACACACCCACCCCCACACACACACATACACCCACACACACCCATACCCACACACACTCACACACACACATACACACACACATACACACACACACATACCCATACACACACATACACACACACACCATACACACACACATACACACACACACACCCCCCACACACACATACACCCACACACACCCATACCCACACACACTCCCACACACACACACATACACACACACCATACACACACCACACACATACACACACACACACACATACACCACACACACCCATACCCACCCACACTCACACACACACATACACACACACATACACCCACACACACCCACACACACCCACACACCCACACACACACCCACACACACCCACACATACACACATACACACACACACACACACACACGAGGGGTGTGTCCTTATCCCATTTACAGGTGAGAAAACTAATCTGTTAGCTCAGATTCTCAGTCGTGACTCGCACCCCAGACAAGTCTTTCTCTGCACAAGCCCACCCCCCACTCGAACGTGGCTCCGGTCTGCTCCCCGCGGGGATCGCGGCTCGGGCTGATGTACCCCCCCCTTCCCGGCTTCCCCCGCTGCTCCCGCGAGGCTCAGGCTGATGCAACACCCCCAGGTCAGCGTGTGCTTGTTGGCCGCCGGAAGGACAGGTGCCCGACCCACCTGCTGTGAGTTCACAGCCACTGCCCTTTGGTTCCTGGCGCCGGCCCCTGAGGCGCCCTGGACGGAGGCTGAGCTTTGGAGTCAGACAGGACCTGCCACCGCTGAGCTGTGTGGCCTCGGGAGAGTCGCTGCACCTCTCTGAACCTCATGTGCCCCATCAGTCAGATTAGGGTGACTTCTAACTGGAAGGGCTGGTCTGAAGGGGTGGGTGGCGTCCTCGGAGTGCCTGGCTGTACGCCAGGCTCCAAGGGGCTTCCTTCTCCCCCCTCCCCCCCCCCCCGCCCCCCCCCCCCCACACACACACTTGCTGCTGCTCTGGAGGCGAGACTCAGGGTCCACGCTGCCGGGCCCACCACTGCACGAGCTACCGACTGGCTTCAGCGTCCTCACCGGTGAGGGGCGGCTAATAATTGTTCCTACAGCTCATGGCTGCCACGAGGGGTCAGGGAATTCGCGTCCACAGAGCGCTGGACCGAGGGTTGCCCCAGGAAGTGCAGTGCGGATGTGAGTGATTGTACTGTCCTATGGGACGCTGTCCACCGTTCCCTCACCCAACACTGCAGCTATGGCCGCCAGCGTCTCCAGCTGCTTCGCCCTGTGGTCCCCGTAGAGGCTCCGGAAGCTCTGCAGCTCCCTGCTGCGCGCACACACTGTCCAGTGGCAGAGATCTGAGGCCCAGGGACCCCGTGGTGAGAAGATGGCAGTGGCCTTCAGCTCTGCAAAGGGAGCCAGGGCCGGGGGTGTGGAGGGAGGGGCTGATGGCCGTCAGCGGGGCAGGCTGGGCTCAGCCCCAGCTCGGGGCTCTCTCCCGCCCAGCACTGGCCGCTCCTTAGCCTCCGGCCGCTGGGAGGGCTCACGGAGGATGAAGACCTTGCAGGTTCCATCTTGAATGCCACACGTTTCTCGTTCATCATCGTTGAGGCCCAAGCGGGCACCGAACCAAGAAACCAGGGAAGCATTTCAGCCATGGTCCTCCCTGTGCCCCCTCCCCCCACCCCTAGAACAAGCCGGTGTGGGGTCCCCCATCCCTAGAACAAGCCGGTGTGGGGTCCCCCCATCCCTAGAACAAGCCGGTGTGGGGTCCCCCATCCCTAGAACAAGCCGGTGTGGGGTCCCCCCATCCCTAGAACAAGCCGGTGTGGGGTCCCCCATCCCTAGAACAAGCCGGTGTGGGGTCCCCCATCCCTAGAACAAGCCGGTGTGGGGTCCCCCCATCCCTAGAACAAGCCGGGGTGGGGTCCCCCCATCCCTAGAACAAGCCGGTGTGGGGTCCCCCCATCCCTAGAACAAGCCGGTGTGGGGTCCCCCCATCCCTAGAACAAGCCGGTGTGGGGTCCCCCATCCCTAGAACAAGCCGGTGTGGGGTCTGTTGAAAAAGAGTAACTACAGCATGCAGCTCCTGTGTGCTGCGTGTCGCCACGTGCGGTCTTGTGCTCGGTGACTTAATCGCCTCATCTCGTCCGGGAGCAGAGAGCCTGCTCAGATCCTGCTGAGGCCCCGCGGCCAGGAAGCGGGAGAGGCTGGGATTTCAGCCCGGGAGTCACTGGTTCCAAAGTCTAAGGTCAGAGCCTCCGTCTGACTGTTATTGTTAGAAAGGGGGCGACCTGACCTCAGCCTGTTGGTCAGACGCCGCCACAACCCACATTTCCCCCCAAAGGGGTGGGTGGGTGGGTGGGGCCCTTTGCCCAGGAGCAGCATTCCTCAGCATGTGGTCCTGGGTCCTTCGTAAGCAGGTCCTTCCTAACAGCGGAGAATCAGACCCCCCCCCCAAGCTTCTTGAACCGGAATCACGGAGGTGGCGTAGGGTGGGTCCTGGGATCTGAGCTTTAATGAGACCCCAAAGGCATCTGGAGAAGTCACCCCTATTCGCAGAGCAAGCGCTTTGTGGGGCTTGGTCCCTGCCGTTTTCCATGCCCCCGGCAGAGGGCGCGCCGCCGCCGCCGACCCGCGTTCCTCACGCCTTTGCCCGGAGACATGGGGCCGCGGCGGCGGGTGCTGGGAGGGCACCCTGGCTCTCTGCTGCTCGGGGAGGGTGCAGAGTGGCGCACGCAGAGCGGGAGGCGGGGCACTCTGTGCCTGTTTGTTCATGACGTTTCTGGGCGCGGGCGCAGTTTCCCGGAGCAGCAGGCTGCTGGGCAGAGCGGAGCTGGCATCGCAGGCGCTTCCCTCACTGGCTCCTGCCGGGCGGCGGAGCCCTGCGCCTTCCCTTGGGGAACCTGCCCCGCGGCAGCCGGAGGGGCTCTCCCGGCTCTGCACCCGCCTCGCGGGCCTCACACGGGGCCCCGCACCGGACCGTCAAGGAGTCGATGGCCCCAGAGGGTGTGGCTCAGTGGATGGAGTGTCGGCCTGCGGGCTGAAGGGTCCCGGGTTCAACTCCGTCACGGGCACATGCCCGGGTTGGGGGCTCCATCCCAGCGGGGCGGGTGCAGGAGGCAGACGTGGCGGGGTTAACTCCCGCCCAGACACCACAGCTGACAGGTCCCACCAGAGGGCGAACAGGCCGGCCCGGGGCGCCCGACACTCCCTGTGCGGTGCTCCCTGTGCTGGTCAAGGCCCCCTGCGCCCCCTTCTCTCTCTCCGGCGCTTCTTGGCGAGGGCAGTGCCATCGCGCGCCTGTGCCCGCTCCCCGAGATCGCCGGGCGCCCGGGAGTTGGCTGAGCTCACCGCCGTCACCGCGCCCCAGCGGCCAGGAGGCTCAGCCCACCCGGGCTTCACTCCCACCCGCTCCGCCGGCACAGTCACAGCTGCGAGGCCCCTGGAGACTTAGGGCGGCCCCAGGTCCTCCCCGCCCGGCTGAGGGCCCGGCATCTGAAGGCCGGCTCCCAGCGCCTGCACCTGCTCTCCTTCCCCCGAAACTGGCGGGCGCCGCGCTAGAACCAGCCAGAACCAGCCAGAACCAGCCACGGCCCGAACACTGGGCTTTCTTCTCAGGTCCGGGGACCCACTCAGCCCAGGGAGAAAGGCAAACCTCCCGAGATGGGAAGTGGGGGGACGGGAGGGGGACAGGGGGGAGCGGGGAGGGCAGAATCAATCATGTGTGCAAAAGGCAACAACCACTTACACACAGGAAGTGGCAGCCAGGCATGTGGAAGCAGGGGGCAGGGATGGGCAGGGACTCCCAGGGTCGGCCGCACAACAAGGAGGTGGGGGCAGGGATGGGCAGGGACTCCCAGGGTCGGCCGCACGAGGCTGTGGCTCATGTCCTCCATGCCCGCTGGTGGGTCCCAATGCCCAGGACACAGTCGGTGCCCAATCCTGTCTGCGAATGAGTGGAGTGGAGCTGACGCAGGGCTAAGAGAAAGCTGGGGGGT